TCTTGGTCAAATATTAATTTAAGTGAGATTAGATTGTTCAACATATCACTTGTTTGGGCTGGTAAAATAATAAATAAAATGGGAGGAATAGGAAGAAAAGAAAAGACGACTTACTTGTCTTTTGTGGACTATATGCTGAAGTAACGGAGGGTGGATGGAAAACGAGAAATTGTGGAAAGGTGGATAGAGTTGGAATGGAATGGAAGCACGGAAAAAACTTCGTGTTCCACGGTTTTACGTACAACTAGGAATAAGAAGTGGAGTGTTTTCAAAAACTAGGTGAGGTGAACAGTTTAGAGGTTTTAACGATGGAGGTTGATCGTTTAAGATCGAGACGAGAACTAAGGGGAAATGATTAAGGATCGGTGGAAGTACAGGATAAGAGGGCAAAGACTTGACTCGGGCCATGACTCAAAAGTAATAAAATTTGAAATATTTTAATCTTACTTTCGTTAAGAATCGCTGATGATGATGAAAATGTTATTCGTTTTAATCTAATAAAAACGTTATTTAAAAAAAAAATCACACCAACTACAACGTAATGACAAAAATTGGCAATCATCATTATTATTTAATTAAGCTTTAAAAAATCTGCAGAAATTTAAAATAATAAATTCCAGATAGTTTCTTAAGAGTGAATGTTTTAAGGGTGAGAAGTTCCAATTAGCAAATGTGGTGAATGATTGTAAATACATTTCTTGGAAGGATACCAACTTTACGAGACTTCCGCAGACCACTCCCGTAGAGCGTAAAAGCTTCCTTTGAAAACCTACTTGCAATAAAAGCTGTTTTTGTTGCAGAGCATGATGATCACGATGAAAATATTATTTTAAAAGGTGTCCGTCTACCATCAGTGCCATTACGTTTTCACCCTCATAAAATGTTTGCTCTTAGAAATTCAGACAGAAAAGATTTCGAAAATAGTTGTTCGGGTTGTAATCAAGAATTATCAATTAGCAGCCACTGATCAAACGAAACGAATAAACATGAACTATTTATTAAATTTAGAAAAACTTTTCAGTTCGTCAGACTTCCTCCGGCCATGTTCACCTTGACAAGATAGCTAATTATACTTCACTCATGTTTAACGTAAAGTAACTCCACTAGAGGGTGTTTACTTTGGTAAAACTTCTTGACTGTACGGTAGGTGAACGGAAGAGATTTTGATTAAATTGGAATTTCAATACCATGAAAAATACTTTTTGAAAACGGCATTATACATGTACTGTCAAACATTACAAGTTTAATTTGTTTGAATCTTCACTTCCGTAAACAAAGCATCCAAACTAAATAGTTACAATGAATAAATAACAGTTATTTTTATTTTTTAGTTCCTTGTAATATTTTTCTTTCTCTTTTAATAAACAATTAAATTGTACTTGGTAGTCTCCGATAATAATCCTTGGTGATTTGGTCTTTCATACTTTGCATATCGCCATCATCTTAGTCTGTCTTTTTATAAGGCTAAATAAAAGTGACTCGATTTACAAAAATTTTTCCCTTCCTCACTCTCTCTCTCTCTCTCTCTCTCTCTCTCTCTCTCTCTCTCTCTCTCTCTCATAATTCTGTTATAAAACATTCATGATTTTGTTATAAAAAAAGATGGTTTTGAATTGTTTAGGTATATGATGGATTTAACACATCCTTGTTGAGTTGATTTGAAAAATATTTTTAACAACATCAAAGCCCTCACTCTCCAGTCGGTGTTTCAATTAACGCATTGTTTACTTTGACGTTGCCTGTGTATTTAACACGCGTTTCAATAACAAGGGCCGCTACAAGCTCGGGTTCCCTTCTGAAGATAAATAAATATCTCAAACAGTCAATTTATCCCTGGGATAGAACATAAGGTCCAAACGCCTCATTGACGGAATCATCATCAATTTGGAAATTATTCAAATTTTCGTGGTAAGATTTCAACCAGAAAGTAGATACTCGTACGAACTTTAGAGATAATTTGTGCTGATTACAATTAATTGCAAATTATGTCTCACCCTGAGTAGTCATAGATAAATAGTAATGAAATATGGATTAGAAAAGTTCTACATTATTCTTTTTACCCCTCTCCCTCTTTCAAGAAAGAGTTTTGTTTCATTTGATTTTCAACAGACACGACAAGAAAACCAGACTGCCGGTCTACATTATAATTATATAGCTATAGTAACAATCATATGTAAAAAAAGCACCTGGAACATATAATTCTTATGTGAATCCATTACTATCTCACGCTCTTTCGAACTCTCAACCTTTCTCATTTTCTATCTGACTCTTTTATTCACATCAACTTTTTTAAATCACACTCTCTGATTTTAATTTATATATATTTTGTCATATTTGTATCTATCTATCTGTACATACTTATCTATCTATCCAGCTCATTGTCTATCGGTTTTTTCTGACTTTATCTCTCTCTCTCTCTCTCTCTCTCTCTCTCTCTCTCTCTCTCTCTCTCTCTCTCTCTCTCTCTCTCTCTCTCTTAAAATTATTTAAAACTAATAACAAAGTTGTGTTGTTAAAATTTGTCCTAAATTCATGTATAAAATATATAAGAAACCTAAAATATGATTCAAGAATACATGACAAATATAAAGCTTAAGACCTTATGAAAATACAAGATTAATAAAATATAAAAAATTAACTCCATTTAATAATATGAGATTGACGAATAAACCATCCTACCTAGTAGAAATGATACAGCCCATGCAATCAAAAATTACACGCCTAAATAAAATGTATAGAAATACATTATACAGAACAATCATACCAAATTCATTTATTCCTGAAGGTACCTCCTAATTACGTAAAAACATGTGAATCTAAAAAATGTATATAAAAAAGCTCTAAAAGAATATCTCTTATGTATGTACTCTTAACATGATTAATAGATTAATAGAATATACTGAACTTTTTAAACTTGCGTTTGTATAAAGAAAATGTTTATAGAATTTAATTTTTCTGTTTGTAAAATCTTTCTTTAATTTAATTGATAATTAATTTTAATGAATCTGTTAGATACAACGCTAAAAAAGTTAAAGAAAATAGTAAAATTCCAAAAAGCAAAACTAATAAATATAAAATGGGGCGTCGGTGGCTGCAATGGTTTAGGTGTTGACACGGCTCTCGTCACTGTAAGGTAAAGGTCCCGGGTTCGAATCCATCGGCCCTGCATTCGAAACCGACATACTTACAAATGGGCTATTTTAAAAGACACCGGCACCCTGATGATTTATATAACCTCTGCTGTTGCGAACCCTCGTAATAAAAATATTTTTAAAAAAATGTATATCGATATCTACCATACTTTATGTAAAACAGACCAATTAAAGTTTTTTTTATATATTGTAAATTATAAATTATTGTCCACGTTGGATGTAAGAAAGGTCCAAGAGACCTAATTCTGCGTGGTTAAATAAAGCGATATCAATCTCATTTTATTAGTATTTATTTCATTTTTAAATCGTAAAATTATGTTCCAATTCTAGAAGCTTGTAATCTAGTTTTTAAGAAACTTAATGTACTACTACTAATATAGAGAAAAATCTATATTTAATTTTGTTACTCAATAATAATATGCTCTGTACAAAAATATAATTTATGTGTTCAATTTACTCTCACTTTATTAAATTACTTTATTGCGATTTTACAATGATTTGTTATTTCTATTTTAGTCTGTTGTGACTATAAATGAATATTATAATTGTAATTACACGTTAAGTGTAAGAAAGCTTCTAGAGACTTTTGCGTGTGTTTTAATAAATAAATCGTTAATCAATCAATCAATCAAGTTCTCGTCCTCCCTCTTTCCCTCTTCTAACTCCAATTAGTAGTCAATGTTATCTGTTGAGTACATAACAAGCGTAAACTTTTTGGTTTATAATTCCAAAGGAAGATTATATTTACGAATAAAGGTCATATTGAATTTTTATGTTTTGGTGTTTTATATAATAAATAAATGTTTAAAAACGTTATAAAATTTTATTAAAACAACATTAATAAAAACTGTATAATATACAAAGTATTTAATATTATCTATAACTTTTATTATTACATTTAAACATGATGAAACTAATATTTTTAGCAGTAAGACTGGTTCTTAGAACGTTTTTTTGTTTAAACCTTTTATTTTTATAAAATTAATCATTTTTGTTAAGGATTATCTTTTCCGAATGTTCACCGATGGTATAAAAATTAAGTTAATCAAGGAGATATAAAGCTTATACTGTGTTGTTTATCTGGTAGGAGCTTGAAGTCCGAGTGGAATAATTAATTTTACTTCTTCCACGGCGTAGAAGAAGAGTAAAATAGATCATTTATTTATCCTAGGTCTTGGGTGTAATCTTGACCGAGGTTAATTTTACATGGCTCTGGCGATCCGAGTGGGTCATACATAGGAAAGAGCTGTTTGTTTTATTTGGTTTTGTTTGTTTTGTGCGGATCTTTTCCAAAATCCCGCGAGGTGATGTGATTAGATAAAAAATTAATACGGGACTGGTTTTGGAACTGAAAATTGATCAGACTTGTGAAATCCAGTTTGCCAAAGACTGCTTCTTCTCGACAAAAACTATAATATCTAATGTGCATTTTTCAGAGTAACACTTATATTAAGAGGATTAATAAAATGCTTCTATTTAAAAAATTACTTTCTTTTTTGTTTCTCGTAACACTTCAATTTATCTTTTTTTTAATTTATTAAATTTAACGTGGTACTAAATAGTACCACAGATTGTCTTGGTGTTCAAGAATACATATAATTCAATTTATCTGTTTGACAATTTTGTATTTTTTTACCAATAAATAACTAAATTAAAATTTAACACTAGATAGCATGACTAAATCTTAGCTTAACCTAATTGAACTTAATCATATTTAACCCTAAATAATTTAATTTCGCTAAGCTATAAGAATCATATTTAAATCTATACATCATGCCATATTGGAATATTGGAAAGGTACTAGAAAATAAATCCTACAAATACAATATGGCGAATATATAAATACGTCCCCACTTTTACTACCTAAATACTAACTAGTCCAGCTTTAACCATCTTCCCGAACTGCAGCATCTTCTACCTTGGGCAATTCCTTAGACCATCGTGAACTTACGAATCAGAAGTTTTATTAAATAATTTTTGTTGGCCACATCAAATGCGCATTGAAATTAGCGTTGGACACTAACATCGAGGTGCTTACAATTGGAAATAAGCCAGGGTGAGTACCCACCGCTTTCCTGACTGATTTGGCAAAGGGATCCGTGTTGCGCATTAAAAAGAAATTTTTAAAATTTCATTGATGTTTTAAGCACACAGCTCGGGAGACCTTGTTTTCCTCTTTTGGTATTTTGGGTTGAGCCTTTTTCTGGTTTAGAATCGTTACAGATACGTAACGTGTTTTATTTTCGTAAAATTTTACACAACTTTATCACCCACAATTTTCTCTTAAGACATTTCATGGCATTTAGACGTCTGAAAGTTGTTTCAACAACTGTAATAATTTGTTAAAGTCTTGAGGAACGCTCAAAAATGTGACAGTTTAGAAAAACACGGTTTTTTATTTTTTTTCCGACGTTTCAACCTTTATTCGGGTCATCTTCAGGGCTTGGGTAAACCAAAAAAACATATTTTGATTGGAAAAAATACAATTTAAGATGTGAATATAAATTTTGAACCAAGTATTTCATACTCACATAAAGTATGGTGCCATAATGGTTTTGTGAAGGTGTTGTGAATCGTGGATTTGTAATCTGCTGTTTTTATATGACTCTGACAGGGTGGGGGATGCGGTAAATCTGAGAAAATTTCTTTGATCATAGGCGGTTTTATTTAAATCAAAGAAAGTCGAGAATGGGGATTTACTGGATTGGATTTGTGATTCGGCATTCAATATTGGAAAGGAATTTTTTTTGTGTGTGTCTAGCGACCGTTAGCCAATGATTATTTGGAGATCGTGAGGTGCGGTCTGGTGTGATGTAGGTTTTGGAAAAACATTTTCTTTATTATGCCAACGTTTCGATCTTTATTGAGATCAACTTCAGGGCTCAAAGTGTTTGTTTTCCGTGTAGATGTGTCATTCTTGTGTGTCGTGGAGCGTGCCCAACGACCGAAGGACGAAGAACATGGGGGCTCACTCAACATGACACACAAGAATGACACATCTTCACGGAAAACATACACTTTGAGCCCTGAAGATGATCTTAATAAAAATCAAAACGTTGGCATGTTAAAGAAAATGTTTTTCTAAACCTACAACACACCAGACCGCACCTAACGATTTCCAAATAATCATTGAAAAAAAAGTTAATTTTTAAGGACGATAAACGAAGGAAGGCTTGATAGTTTTATTGCTTTATGATGTTGGCGTAGCTACGGCTGAGTTTGCATGTATCTGTTCTATAATTTATGCTGTGTTAATTAAGAAAGTTGCGTTTGTACTTGTTGTAAAAATAAACTTGTTGTTTTTCCGTTTTCTAGATAGATGTAATTCCAATGTATGCAGCTGGACAGTTTATACAATTAATTTTTTAAATTACATCGGTTGAAGAGTGTTGGTGTTGCGTCTTTGACTTTGGAAAAATGTGTGTGTACTGTTTTATGGTTTTTAAAACCTATTTTAATGTGATCTGAAGAGAAAAATTCACTTAATTTGTATGACAATGTGTGAATTAATGGAATGGACATGTATATTGGTTTGTCTTTGTATGATTGTGTTGATGATGTGATACGTACTGTGGAGGATGTTTTATGTAGTGCTGGGTTATAATTATTTATGATTCTGTTGATTATGTTTATAGGGTAGTTATTGTTATGTAAGATTTGTTTGTATGTTTGGATATTTTTAAGTAAAAGGATTCGTGACTTATAGATATGATTCTGTGTAATAATCCTTTAGCCAAGTTTAATATTGTGGTAGGGGGTGGTGTGTTGGCCAAGTATAATTGAGGTAGCGATCAGTGTTGGGTTTTTGGTACTAATCTTTGATTAGTGTGCAATCTGTCTGTCTTATTACGAGTATGTCTAGGAATAGTAATTTGTTTTCTGTTTCAACTTCATTTGAATTACAAATTTGAAATTACAAAACCATCGCACGGACACCTTCTGGCCGGAAAGCGATCACGTAGGTGCCCTTTATGTAAGGATAGAATAACGGTCGAGCACCTCTTCAATTGTATGTATATAGACTTAGATGTATATAGACAATATTTTGGCATCTCATCGGATCTGTGCGTAGTCTTGAGGCACGTCAGCGGGCACAGATCGCTGTTCCGGTACCTCAGGGCTATAGGGATTTTTAAATTTCTATAGTTTTATGTGTTTGTGTTGTGTCTGTGTTTGACTTTATGTTAATTTATTGGAATGAATGTAATTTATTAGCATGAAAGGAAGGGGTGATTTAACCCCGTCCCGAGGAATATCGAGTACTCTGGGGGAGTGAATGTGACCAGACATCTATGTTTGGGGTGATGTATTGTATGTTTTGTTTCCATTCTGTATTTGACAACTTGAGGTACAAACGAGAGACTAGCATTCTAGAATATCAACGTAGTATATATTTGAAATCAGAGAGTCAGTAACCAGATCGAGACGCTTAAATGGCTGCAGTTTTAAACAAAATATGCGCGAAAGAAAAGAAAAGAAGGAAAACAAGCAGAGGGCCGGCGATGACCTCAGCTGTTTGTCGGCCCATAAACTTCACATTATTTATATATATATATACAAAACAATCATCATTTTTGTGTATAATTCATGAATCATTCTGAGTATTTTCTACTTAATCAATGCTTAAAACCCTTCGTACTCTTCTACTTACGCCCAATTTTATTTAGTGTGAAGTGCACAAAAAATAATATAGATTCATAGCTTAATTTTTGTTTTTACCTACAACAATTTTTAATGGAAAAACATAAGAAAAAGTCTTTTTAATTGCTATGTTTGTAAATGGTCACATTTTATTACTTATTTTATAAATTTAATTGTCTAAGGAGTTGTTTTTCTGTTTGTTTTGTAACATCATCTATCTAATGAGAATCCTTTTCCTCCCAGTCGGTGAAGAATCGCATCATTAATTTTTGTAGAAAATCGATATCCTCCATCTTCTAGAACAACACTGGCTGTTTAACTTAAATGTTGATCAACGGTGACCAGATCATTCAATATGGGCGCTGTGAAATTTTAGAAGTTTGAAGCAATAAAAAATGAGCTGATTTTTTTTCTTGTAAGGCAGAATTGTCTGAGTCATAACTTTCGGCCACTTGACCGCTATTAGACTGGTATAACGTAGGCTGGTATCCATCAACGACGTAGTAAACGTCCTGGAGTGGGCGGCTGTACCTGATGGCTCCCTTACATTCAACGAAATCGTTACTTATTGTCTTCTCTCAACCTGAAATTGATCGGCCCAGATTTTCAACTTCAACCCACACACCTACTGTGAATCGTATTGACACATTGACGGATTCGAATACCGTACGCCTTCCGATCCGCCGCCCCCTCTCGCCAGGTTGCTGATATTAGATAAAATTATGTTCGCAACATCGCTTTCCTTTCCGTCTCGCTTCGACGCCGACAAGTTTTACCTACCTGACTGTCTGAAATGGAAAATCCAAAACCTTTAAATAAAAAGTAAGAAAATGTTGTACTTATCGCATTTTTTAGTCTTGATTAATTTTTATATTTTCATCTAGTTTATTTTAAAGCTATCTTCACTTTCATCATAGGATTTGGTTAAGTATTTCGAAAGAGTATTTTATTCAAAGAACCAGAACAAGGAGAAAATGTTAATTACTTTTGGCTAATCAAAGATTTCGGATAAATTAAGGAATGTTTGTTTCATTGTTGTACGAAGCAAATTTAACTTAGATAACTTAAAATCAACTACAGAGAAACACATTAGTCACGAAGTTTTAATTTGTCGATATTTTTACCGAAAAAATTCTCTCAGCTTAAGAGTACGCTTGGTCGAAACGTAGAAATAAACAAAAAGAGAAGAAACCAGGTGAGAGTAGTTTAAAATACAAATATCCCATAGTATTGATTGAAGAAGAATAAGAAATCAGGAACAGCAAATAAAAAATAATAGAACATATAGTAATATATATGAATATATCTATGTATTACTCTCTCTCTCTCTCTCTCTCTCTCTCTCTCTCTCTCACACACACACACACACACACACACACACATACATTCTCTCTTTGTTTGTATTGTTCTCTTTCTTTTACCCTCAATTTCAAGCACTCTCTCTACATTTATTTTTATATAAATAAATTACTTTTTCAATATCCGCCATATTTCGCTCGAAATTGTTTATCTATCTATTATCTATTTATCTATCTATCTGCCTATATACTCTTACGCCACCTCCATCACGGTCTGTATATTTCTCTCGAAATCTAAGTTTATCTATCTAACAATTAACTTTTTATCTATCTATCTATCCGCCTATATCTCTATATCGCCACCTCTACCACCATCGTTATATTTCGCTTGACAATGTTTATCAAACTAGCTATCTATGTATATGTATATCTAATAATCTATCTATCGATCGAGTGATCTTTATGCCTATATCTATATATTGATATCTCTCTCTCTCTCTCTCTCTCTCTCTCTCTCTCTCTCTCTCTCTCTCTCTCTCTCTCCTTCCTTAATTTCATTTTGTTTACCTTTACATTAATGTCAGTTATAAAAGAGTGTCGGTTGAAATTATTTTTCATCAATATTCCCAAGAATGGTAAAATTATTTTACCCCTTACGGAAGGAGTGTTGCGAGGTGTAGCTTTTAACCGTTTCTTAAACCGTACCGTTAATTAAATAACGGGTCGGCAAATTGGCAGTCAGGTTTTTTTAATCGTTAGCTTTAAAAATATTTTTATACAATTAGGGAGACTTTATAAATTGAATCTATTCAGTTTTTCTCTCTTCAATTGAGAGTGAGTAGGACAGTTTTAAAACAGTGGCAAAAGCGGACCGAACTTCAACAATCGGGCCGCAATTAGCGTCAATCGTCAAGAAGAGGGCCCTCGGAGCCAATTACCGTTATTAAATTATGCAGTAACCATGACAAGAGTACAAAAGTAGGCCTCGACGGGCTTATCATTGTTTTCTTTGGCCTTCCCCCGGACCTAAAAACGAATACGTGCATAAGAAACCCATTTCTCGTGTATTTTACACTTATCTATTGAGCCTTGAACGTCAAAAACATGAGACCTTAACTTTTTTTTCAAAGTCGCTTCAAACTGACTGATATGAATCGTTTGAATTGGGTTAAAGTTGGGCATGTTTTCATTCCTAAGGCTTAATAAGTCGATCGACCTTCGTTCAAATGGAGGATTCATAAAATCTGTTTACATACCCCCTGTTTTTGTCTCTGGAGCAATACCGGAGCGAAATACCTTCATTTTGGATTCTGGACTTGATTTGGCTCTCGAATATCCGGTGGGAGCACTTCTTGTTTACACAGAGCCTGCCCCCAGCATTGCCAACGAAAAGCACTTCAAGAACAAAAAGGATTTTTAAATTATTCAAATCAATCCAGACCTTTGTGGTGAAAGGATTTTAAATTGTGCAGCTTCCAAAACAAAAGGGGGAAAAATTCTTTCTCTGTCTTATGATCGCACGTGTTCGATACGTCGTACATGACCTGACGGTAGCAAATAAATCGCATTTTTGATTATGCAAATTTCCTTATCCGGTTTTTCTCTCATTGACTCGTCCTTCGACCCCCTCTACCTCCTCTGTACTGCATGTATTGAAAAATTTCTACTTTATACCACAGTCCTTTTTGGGAGAGTTGTCCTAAAAGTGTATCCGGGGGGCAAAGTGGTCTTCCTTTTTTAAACCAGAGGTAATTGTACATCCTGTGATAATCGACTGTTGAACCATCGTTGATGGTGAGTTTTCAGTTATTAAAAACTTGTTTTCTGATTTAAAACATTTGAATGGTTGAAGTTTTTCTACTGTGGTGGTCCTTCTATAAAAACCGTCTATATCTTTGATTTTATGTAACACCACGTTTAAAATATAAGAAGAAAGAAAGCAGAGTAAGCGAATCGCCAAAACAAATGAGAAGAAATTAGGAGGTATAAAAGATATTACAAAAAGGGAAATACAGGGATGTAAAGCTAAAAACCTCAAGAAAATGGTATAGGTAACGTAGATATTCAAATATTTGCATAATTTGTGACTGTACAGCCAAGAAAAGTAGGTTAAAAAAATAGAAAGAAATTAAAAACTAAAGCAAAAAAAACATATATTAATCATCGTTTAACAAATTATAATATACATTTCTACTAATAGATACTTAATACAACTTGTAAATTTTACAGACAATCACTTCAAGCTTTCACCCCCCCTTTTACAAACAGTTAATAATAGCGAGATATAATTGAATATAATTTCTCTGGTTTGCATTAAATTAAATTAGTTTAAATCATAATGTCCGGTTCATTAACAGAGTTGAACAATCTAAAATTCCCTTTTAACACAGACAATTTGGACATTTCAGTGGCCTTTCTAACTACAACTTTGAACTTTAAGCTTTGTCAAGGGGACGTTGGCTTGTTATCATTATCTACATTCCTATGATTAATATTACCATTAATACGAAATTTGTTATAAAAGGAGGTTTTTCCTGTCGATTTTTAAACAATCTTGAAATTTCTGTTTTAATTTGTATGAAGTTTATACATTCAATTTCGAAAAAAAAGAGCACACATGATAGTTGAGTAGTTTGATCGTCCCTAATCAAACTTGGACGTCTAATCTTGGTTTTGTTTTTTGTCAGAAGAACACACAGCTCTGGCACAGATAAACTGAAATAGTCGAACGCGGGTGACAACATGCTCACATTCTCACAGCTTCACAATGTTTTTTTTTTTTTTCACTTTTTTATTTTTTTTTTTAATGAAACCAAAATATTTTCTCCTAATGACCAGAGAAACTATGTATAAATTGTTGCAAATTTCTATCACATAGCTGTCAAACAGCGATTTATAAGTATAAAACTAAGAGGTTTCGATCATACATGTCAAGAGGAGAAACATTAAAAAACGAAGTTTTCTCGATTCCTAAGCCTCATTGGCAAGAACACTCTAAAATATCTGAGTCTAATGTTTTTGAACCTTAGAGAAATCACCAAGAACAATTTAATTAAAATCGCTGTTTCCACGTCCATAGCCTCTCCTTGTTAGTCTTTTTCTCCCAGTGTTTCTGATTTTATAACTAGATCAAAGACAAATCCAATAAAAAGTTAATTTGATTTTGCTGAAATAAGAATTAAATTACTCTGATTTTTTTTCGAGTTCTAAGCCGCTTTGGCAAGAATATAATATTTTTGAATCTAGAATCGCAAAAAAAGATGTAATTAAAATAGGTGTTCCCAAGTCCTTTCTTTCTTAGTTCTTTATATCCAAGTAGTTCAGATTTTTCAATATATCAAAGACAAATCCAACGAATAGTTAATTTGATTTACCTGAATTAACAGACAATATAAACTATTATATAAATCATATCATTGGCTTAAAATATTTTCAGAAGCAAGGGATTTGATATCAACGTTTTACGCTAAACCTTTAATATTAAAACAATGATACAATTCGTTATTAATTTGACATGTTATTATATTATTATTCAAATTAAATTACAATTTATTTTTACCTTAAAATTCTTAAAGAGGTAAATTTTATGTAAAGGATTGCAGGTGGAATAACTTTGTGCAATAATACAAACTAAATCTTGGTGTAAATTAATAATGTAATATAGCTACATTATAGAATGCGGAAATATTGGCGTTTTAATTAGTTAAAATAAAATATTTTGTCTCTGTTTTTTATAAATATATTGTATTAAAGGAACAAATGTCCAAGCCTTGCGAAGAGTAATGATTATGAGAACATTTTCGTATTTCAGCTTTATATTTTTTCCTTAGATGCTGAAATCCAGGAGATTACTGGTAGCGCTGGGAAAAATTGATTTGGGCCGTCCTGCAGCGCTGAGTAGCAATTTTCCAGTCAATTATCTTTCAAGGATCGCATCTCAAAAACACGATTCAATCGTCGCTTCGCCCTGGAAAAGTATCGACATCCCCGATGCAACACTGCCTGAGTTCGTCTTCGAGAATAGTTCAAAATGGGCGGACAAAGTGGCCGTTGTAAGAATTTTGGAAACATTTACAATATTATTCGTATTACTGTATTTTTTTAAATCGATCCTTTTTATTTTGATTTAATATTGAAGGAATGCGGCCTGACCGGCAAAGGCTACACGTACGACGAGCTGAGGATTAATAGTAAAAGGCTGGCTTGCGCTCTATTGAAAGCCGGATTAAACAGAGGAGACACAGTAACATTATTACTGCCCAATATGCCTGAGTATGCCGTCAGCTATTACGGGGTTATGGAGGCCGGTTTAACCCTTTCCGCCATTAACCCACTTTATTCAGCAGGTTATATGATTTCGTTTTCTAGTTCTATTGAGAAACCGTACATTTATGTTTAAATCACAGAGTAAGATAATCCAGAAATCAATCATATCAACGCAAATCGGAATCAAGGATCACATTTCAGGTTGATCAACTGCTCGAACTGCTCTCTAGTTTGGCCTGTTTAGTTTTTTTAGGAATTTACTTTAATATCTTGTTATTTTTTATCCATTTTTTATAAAGACTTTTCATGATCAATTCTGCGCATGTGCCGAGTGAATGAGACTTGCCTACATTATAAGTACGATTAACGAATTGATAAAACCATTAAATTTTTTATTACATTTTTCAAAAAGTAAATGAAAAAATTTTTATACTATAATCTTATATTCAATTTATTATTTTTATTTATTTTTAATTGGGTTTATACTTCTAGATAGTTTTTTTTTTTTTTTTTTTAATTTTGTTTGTCTTGTTGTACACTTTCAGTCTGCCTTACAAAGGGGTCCTACAGACGTGGGATCACTTGTTTAATGAGACTTTTTTTTGGTTATACTAGGTGGAAAAATATTTTTAAAACAGCAGTTTTGCCAATAGGATCCGCGAAAAAATTAACTAATTATTTTTTTTTTAAAGTGATTCTGCATTCGCTGTTCATGTACTTCAAGGTTACATATCATTTGATTTGTTTTGTTATTTTCTTTTTTTTTTACCTGATAATAAACTAATCAGCAGATCAAATGAGATTAGATATATAAAAAGTTAAGGCAAAAAGCGCTTTCAGTAAAATAAGCCAAAAGAGATTTTTTTAAGTAAACCTAATTTGGATTCATTTTAAGCACCCTTTAAAGCCCCTAAATCTATCTAACAAACCCAAAATATACATTTTTGGCAGGATACAGGCCAAGTGCAAGTATCCGATAGATGAGTGGAGTCGTTCCAAAGTTATCAGTTATCACCATTTTTTTTTTTAAATCTGAGGCATTTGGAAAAGTCAAAGAAGGAAATTGGAAGGAATCCTTCTTCCATTCTTAGCCATGCGACTTGTAGGCAAATGTAAAATGCTTATATATCTTTTGAAAAAAGCTTTATATATATATATAATCTAAATAAGAAGAAAAATGTAGATGTTGAGGATGGGTGTAAATTCCCGAGCGTTAAAAAATTATTTTAAAAAAATCACATGGAAAAGTAAACAAAAATTATTTTTTATATTTGTGAAGGCACGATAGCTCAAGTGGTAGAGGAGCGGTGTATTTAGCCGAAGGTCGTGGGTTCGAATTCCGCACTGCTCCTCTTTGAGTTTTATAACACAAAGTTTTCTTGCTGCCTAATTGTTATGATTTTTTTAGAAACATATCTGTCTTTTTGTTCATATTTTAGTTTTCATCAGGATTTATTTTCACATCAAAGAACTTAGTTTTTCGTCAGTATGTCTTGCTTCTTGTCTTCATTTATTTTATAGAGTTGCAATTTATAACCTTTTCTTTTATTGTTTAGGGTATTTTTGTAGTTGATAGTTTAACTGTTTTTACGGTTGTAGCACTTATATGCTGTACGATTTCATAAATTTCGTTTATGAATCCTCAATTGAGATTTTTTAATTGACTATTCGCGTCGGCAGTCCATGTTAATCCTTACATTTTCGTTGGTTGATCAGACACGTTTTGGCTTTCATCGGATATAGCCGGCAACAACGGTTTGACATCGGTTGGTCGCCTCAATACTCAACACAAATGTCCTTTATATCTCAGCGTTTAATCACACCGTTTATTATTGTTATGTCATTTAATTTATTTCTCCAGGGCATGACATTTTTTCTCTCTTTTACAGATGAAATAGCGCATCAGTTGACCGACTCGGGATCAAAGTATATCATATGCCATCATGACTCTCTCGAAAAGGCCTTGACAGCCAGAAACCTTCTAGAAAGAAATCTCCATGTTATTTGCGTGAACGATTTCGACGGCCGAACCAGGGAGATTCCAAGCTGCGTGAGGCCTTTCAGCGATTTAATAAGCCCCAGGGACATATCCGACTTGGAAAAACAAGCCCACCCGGTGGCAGCAAATGAGACAACGGCTTTTCTCCCTTACTCCAGCGGGACGACTGGCCTTCCAAAAGGCGTCTGCCTCACCCACAAAAACCTAGTCGCCAACGTTGCTCAAATAACCCATAACGATATTACTATAAACCAACCAACAACAAGTTCGTATTATTTTAAAATTACTTAAGAAGAAATATATAAATTCCATTTGGGCAAAAATCGCGACATTGTGTTCTTTTCTTGCAACCTTCACAAATCTTAAGTAAAAAAGTCTTGACTCTGTCCAAACCAAGAGGTTGCATTCCTTTAACAATTTCGTTGACTTTTATAAAGTTTTGGAAACCGACTGAACCGCAGTAGTGCTGCAGCACAGTCATGCGGCTTAGGTTATAGAGTATTAGGATTCGGCCTTACCACCTTGCACACCTCGACCAAATCTTTCGTGCCATCTCCATCATTGTCTAGAGCCCTTCGTTAAGCTTCATGTTCCGTCGTTTCTTCTACTGTACAGGCTTGATTCTCCCCGAAAATCCGGAGTTCAGCCACACAGAAAATGTCTCAAGTCTCTGCCTCTATTTGTCAAATTCAGCAAGTTTCAACTCACTTTTATTCATTTTCTCGAAGTTGCAATTTAGTAGCAATGGCCAGTATTAAGACATCCTAAACTCCTGTCTACTGAGCGAAAGTCAGACACTTGTCATCCTACTTGAGATGATTAGATATCATAAATATATTTGGTAGGAATGAATGTTCTGGTGTTGAAATTCATCATTCATTCGACCACATCCCCAATCCTACCAAATATATTGTTGAATCAACTAGGTTGAAGCTATTTTATAGATTTTAAACCCTTTATTGTTGCTTGGCTGTTGGAAAGTACATACAATACATCCTTTCAATATATTTCTGATTATTTCCTGAGTACCAAGCTAAATTGAATGGATATTGAGGGAATACGCCCCAAGGAGCAAAAATTAGGCAACTCGCACTGCTTGGTTCATCATCCGTACATCTATATACCAATTTCGAGGTCTTTGTTTTTATTCCAAAAACTTTATGTTTCAATGTCCTTTTGAAAATTTTATCTCAAAATTTAATTTTCTCTTCATTCGTTAAATTTTTCGTTAAAATTCTTAGTAGCCGTCTTATTTAATTAAATTTCTATTGTGAAGGCTTCATAGTAGGGCTGGTTTTATCTCATATCTCTGTCCTAAGAGTCTGTATGTACTTTGATAGGTCACCTTTTTAGTGTATTCCCAGAGCTTTATTTTTTATGTTAAATGTTCATCTTTGCAGTGTTTACAGTTCACTTTTTACTGATCCCTTTTTGAAATATTTTGCGCCAACATGCTAAAACTCACGTTTAACCTCTATATAGATATTATTCATAAGAATTTTTCTTAAGAAAACCGTTGATAAATAAGGCAGTGTTCGAAAGATAGGCGCTCAAATCAAGATTTCTAACTTATCAAATAAATTTCGACGTTAACCGACTTAAGTTTTATTCCTTTTGTTAAGAGATTTCTATATAGATGTAAACTTTCTGTCCGTTCTGGGATATCACTAGATTTTACAGAATGTTTCCGTCCATTATCTTTTTTATCAGTTGTTTGTACTTCTGATAAGACTGCAGTAAAAGATACATTTGTTATAGCTCGAATTTACTGTACTGCACCAAAAATATGAATCAATATAGTATTTGTTATTCATTAGTTTTTATATGATTTTAGAAGATCACCAAGATTCGGTTATAGCCGTTCTGCCGTTTTTCCACATTTACGGATCAACGGTCTCCCTATCCAGGACGTTAAGGGAAGGTGGTAAAGTGGTGACGTTGCCCAAATTCGAGCCGGCCAGCTTTCTCAACAGCTTGTCAACGAACAAAGTAATAATTTCTCCAGAAGTTTACAAAATTTTTGAAAAAACTAAACGAAATTTTACAGAATATTGTTCTTTACGCTGCTCCTCCTATGATCATTTTCTTGGCCTCCCATCCTTCAGCAACAGAGAAACACCTGAAACACCTGAGGATCACCATGACGGGCGGAGCTCCGTGCAGTGACTCCGACTTAGAGAAATTGTTCGATAAGAAAAAGCACGTTGTCATCCAAGGTAATCTTTTAAAACACGTATTGAATCTGATGTTTTGACGTGTACTGTTATTTTAGGCTACGGGCTGACAGAATCCGCACCTGTACTTACTCATTCCCATCAAGATTACAAAGACAGAGCTTCTACTGGAGCCATCGTATCAAATACATTGGCTAAGGTGGTCGATACGGAAACTGGAAAGGATCTCCCTGCCGGTGAAACAGGAGAACTATGCTTCAAAGGGCCTCAAGTATGACAATTTGTGTAACAACAAAATATTTTCTTTTTTTAATTGTTTAATTTCAGATTATGAAATGTTATCATAATCGGCCCGAAGCGACGGCTGAAACAATCGATAAAGACGGCTGGCTCCATACAGGGGACGTAGGGTACATAAACGAATTAAAAAATTGTTTCATAGTAGATAGAAAAAAGGAATTGATCAAAGTCAAGGGTTTTCAGGTCTGTCGTTACTACTAAAACGCTTGTTTTATAGAATACTTGTAAAAATATAACATTAATACAGGTCCCTCCCGCTGAGTTGGAAAGTATATTGAGGCAGCATCCCAAGCTATACGACGCAGGGGTCACTTCTCTCCCTTGTTCCAGAAACGGCGAAGTTCCGGTCGCATTCGTCGTTCCAAACCCAGGAAACCAAAATATAAAAGAGGAAGAGATAAAAGACTACGTTGCGTCGAAAGTTGCCCCTTACAAGAAGGTTTCCAAAGTCGTATTCGTAGACGCCATACCAAAAAACCCTTCCGGAAAAATCCTTAGGCGCGTTCTCAAAGAAATGATCCAAACGGAGTTACAACAAAAACAACGCTAGTTAAATCAAACCAAAGAAATTATAATTTAATTTAAAATTGAAGTATTTGTGTAGGAGAGTTTTAAACACTAAACAAAACGTTATGAATGGTGTAGTTTGGTCGTTCCATTTCGTCACAACAGCCAAGGTACATGTTCACCTCAACAAAATATCTCTTAATTTGTACATGTTATTCTAAGTCAGGGTGTTTTATATCAAGTCAAGAGAAAAAAATTAGAAAAACATATTTGATATAAGTTTCTCTAATTTCTGAATGTACCAATTTTTATGAAAAATATATTTTTATATAATATGTTGTTTTTGAATTATTTTTTATTCTTCAAACAATTCTATTTATTGTGCATACTTCACTTTACATATTACATGCACTTAAAATGAAGACTGTGATTATAAACTAATATAGTGAATTTATACGTGCAGGTTATAAGTTTCTAAATATTTGTAAAGTTTTCTTCACTGCAGCCTTCTGGCCTTTTGTACATTTTCGAAAGTTATAACCAATTGTGTGACTTTCGAAAAATATCGTAAGCAAATTTGGATGGCGAAAAATTTAATAATAAAATTAATTTATCAAAATATTTATTTTCAGGGTTTGTTAGGAATTTAATAAACGAATATAACTGATTCTTCTTGATCATTTTTTAAATTATTTTATTTGTACCCTATACATACTAGTACATATTACAAATGTACGTTTGTTTTTTCACACGGCACAACACTAACACAATTGCCAGCACTGCACCTGGAGGACGCATGCCATGAGAAACCAGCCTATGCTGGCACTCCAGTGTGAGTGATTAAGAGGGCAAGGACGTTCCGAGGCAATGCTCGATCAAGGCGACGTATCGGGTTCTCGGTATGGGAATGTGTAGAGAGGGCTCGGGCAGTAGTGTTAGGATGGATTGTTGTGACATTTTTGGAATCGGGAACGGATCAGTTCGTTGACAAAAGGAATGAGGTCGTGGATAGTGCGGTTAGTGATGTTATAAGGAACTTTGACAATTTGCCTGAGCCTTTCGATCAGAAGGATTAGGTGCGCTGGATGTTGGATGGCTTGGCAGAACCCCACAGTTCCACTCCGTATATCCAAAGTGGTTGCATTATAGTCTTTATAACCTCAAGGTGTTTGTGGATGGTGGACGTAGCTTGGATAGGATTCGATGTAGAGGACAAAATTGCGGTATCGTACGCGTAGGTGGTGATGATGGTTTTAGGTGTACAGATAGGTCAACAGTATAAATGATATAAAGGATGGAACCGAGAATGGTCCCTTAGCCTGAAATATTCATAGCCCGGTCCTTTTTGCAATGCAATACAACTGACATTTCTACAAGTATAGTCATCTCCACCTTTGCCGACGACATGGCTATCCTTTTTTCTCGCTCCAATCCGGTTTAAGATCGTATCTTCCTACCTCAACCTATCAAAAAACTGGTACGGCAAATGGAGAATCAAAGTGAACGAATGAAAACGTGTTCAAGTCACTTTCGCACTAGGAACGTTACTGTGTTACTGTGTCCCTCATTACGACTGAATAGCATACTGACGCCTACTGCTCACATACAGACCTGGCACTGTACATTGATAAAAAACATTCATCTGAAACAACAATGCATAAACCGCCGTTACAAACCTTGCTGACTCTACTCGAACAACTGACCCCACCTACATATCAACAACACACCCTCTACAAAACAATTTTCCAATTGGAATTATTCAATCGAAAATCCTAAGAAAAATTCTTGATGCTTCCTTCCACTTCTCCAATTTAAAACCATCCTCCCTGACCTCCATATTCCATTCATTTACGACCTTGTGAACTCGTTAAAAGAAATCCACAACACCCTTTTCCCATATTCAAACCCTCTCGTCCAAAGAATTTCCTCACAAACCCTAGCTGGAAATCCTCAACCTCAGCTGAAGAGGGAATGACCTGAGATTTACACCAGTGAGCATGAGCTATGTCAAGTGTCACCAGTGTGTAGATGTAGATGTAGATGTAATATTCGGGGTATACTGCGCCTTTAAGAGCTATTGTAGCCCCCGTTCTCTGCCTAAAGCAGATCGGTGAGTCCTATTTAATCAAGAAACTTGATTAATAGGCCCGGTTTCAGTGGTTGAAGCTCTTCTATGATCACATTATACATCCCGAAACATTTCCTCCTGCGGGCTAATGTAGCTCCGCAGTTTGTTAGTAAATTGTTAGTAAATATACAGTTTGTTAGTAAAGTGTCTCTTCTGCCTCCTTGCAGAATCTGCATGTGCCATCTTGGATTGTTCCAATTTTCTTTGTGTCCATTTAATCTGCAGTGTCCTGATAGGATTCGCAGTCTGTTCCTGCTTCCTCTGACACATTCTGTGATTTTTTTCCTACCAAAATTGGTTAGAAGATTCTTGGATTGTCTATGTCCAATGAGTGAATTCCATTGTTCATTCATTTTCTTTTTGTCCTTCTGTCTGAGATCTTCGTTAATAGTGTGGATTCCTATGCCACAGAAGGGTTTGGGTCCTATCAGCGGTGTGGCAGCCCCTTTCCTTGCAAGGGTGTCCGCTTTCTCGTTGCCTTCTACTCCCATGTGTCCTGGGCCCCAGCAGAGGCTGACTTTATTCTGCATACCTAATATGTTTAGTTTGGTTTTGCAGTTCAGCACCATCCTTGAACTAATGGTACTTGAGCTTAGTGATTTGATGGCTGCTTGGCTATCTGACATGATAGCTATATTCTTGTTTTTGTACCCTTTACTTAGATTGAATTGGGTACATCTTTCAATTGCATAAATCTCAGCATGGAAGATACTGGTGTGTTTTCCCATGGGTTCTGAGTATTTGATTCCAGGTCCAAATACTCCTGCCCCCGGACCTTCTTGTGTTCTAGATCCATCTGTGTACCAGAGGATGGTGCCATTTTTAAATGAGTTATTTACCTCTCTTTCCCTTTATTTTTTGGTACCCAGGTTTATTCGGAATTTTTGGTTAAATTCAAACATCCTGTTCATGTCGTCTCTTGGAGCCATGAGTCACGGATGGTCTTTCCATAGTTTGTAGCTATCTCTCCATTTCAGTTTTATTCCTGTTGTTTGTCCTTTCTACCATGTGATGTAGGGGAATTAATCATAGTATTTTTATCATGCTAATTGTAGGACATGTTCTCATTGCTCCCGTTATGCAGATGCATGCAAGTCTCTGTATTTTTGTGAGTTCTTTCCTTTTGGTTATTTGTTCTGCTTTATCAGCCAGGCTATACCTCCGTATGTAAGTAAAGGTATTACTATCATGGTGTACATCCATAACAGGGTTTCCGGTCTGCACCCCCAGTTTCTTCCTGCTATTCTTCTGCACACCATCAAAGCTCGTGTCGCCTTTGTGATGATAGAGCTGATGTGTTTCTTAAATGTTAGTGTTTTATCTACTGTGATGCCCAGATATTTGACTTCATTTTTTATTTCTATCACGGTATTATTGAGTATTATTTCCCTCATGTGATCAAGTTTCCTTTTCCGTGTGCAAGCGACTATAGTTGTTTTGTTGGGATTGATCCCTAAGCCAGCGCTTTTACAACACCATTCTTCTGTGATTTTTAGTACCTCTTGGATTATATCGCAGAGAGTTTCTTCGAATTTTCCCCTGGCAGTCAGGACTATGCCTCCGAATATCCCTGACATTTTATTTCTGAACGTCCAGGGTTTCGAGCAGTTCATCAACTGTTAGGCTCCATAGGAGAAGTGATAATATCCCTCCTTGTTATCCATCCTTTTGTTATGCTAACTTCTATAGTGTCTGTTCCTACATTTGTTGCAGCTATTCTGGTTCTTAGCAGTTCTCCAATCCATCTAGATGTGGTTTGGTCTACATGTTTTTCCCCAGGGAGGCTTTCATTGATTCATGAGATGATTCCCTCAATATCGAGGAACGCGTAGATTGCTATTTCCTTTGTTTCCAGTGTGTAACTAGATATAAAATAATCTAAATATAAAAATTTCGGTCACAAATTGTATATTGTATTTGTAATAAGTAGCGTGAATAAAAATGTTAAATTAATAAAAGTATAATCCATACATGTTTTAAATATGTAATATAATAAATACCACAATACAATTTCCATTCCTATATTTTTTATAACTCACTTATTCAAGAAAAACATGTAAAAGTATTTTGCTTTTATTGTGATATTGAAACAGGAGTAGACTGTCAACACGTTGGTATCACATTCTTCTTCCTAAAACGAGTGTCTTGTGAGTTAAGCCCCTTAAGGAAATGGTTTAATCGGCGAAGTGCATTCTCTGGAAAAAAAATGACAAATCGGTTCCTTCAAAGTTCCCCAAAGAAAAACAAACTTGAGAAACGGTCATTGTTATAAAGTTTAAATCAACTTAGCCACTTTATTTCTGGGGGAAATATATATATAAAAAACCCGCCATTGTAAAATGTTATTTTTAAAGCATGCAGAATATACATTTTAAGTAAAATAGTAAGTTCACAAAGAAGTATATCCGCGATTTTGGCGTTTCAACCAGAACATTCTGAATAAAAGCCACCCTTTCTTATGAAGAAAAAGCAAAGGGGGTCGGAAGAGAGTGAAAGTGTAAAAAATTGAAAGCCGAGGAAGGGGAGTAAATAGGGCCAGGGAAAGAAAAAAGGGCATGTACAGGGTTTTTGTGACTAAGGGGAAGCCTTATCAAATTGAATAAAGCGTAGTTTCGTATAAAATTACAACCATTTATTGTTAGATGTTACATTTTTTCCCAGGTGTGACTTCAGGACTGAATATTACAAATGGCCAATGGTAAAACTTGTCAGATATGTGATCAGTAATATTAACAAACCACTATTACACCATCCACTATTACCAATAATACTACACCAAATCTATCAAGTACAGACAAACCAACATCCATTTCCATGCCATATATTCACGGCCTATCACATAAATTAAACACGTTTCTCTCTTCGGATAACTTTAAAATAACTTTCAAAAACTGTAAAACAATTCACACACTTTTCTCCAAAATTAATGATCACAAACCAGTAGTAACAAACAAATCTGACGTAATTTATAAAATCAATTGTTTAAATTTCCGGCAATTTACATCGGTATCCCAATATCTGGATAAGAGAGTAAAACACCAGATCTATGATTGCAAAAAACCCAAACAAAATCCTACAGCACTGGCTACCCACCATTTTGAACACCAACACAATTTAGAGTTCACACAATCCAAAAATATTAACAGACACAAGTAAAATCAGTAAAATAAGCCAATATCATTAATCAAATTCAATATCGCTAACATA